TCCCCAGGTTGGGGAGCACTACATGCTCTGCCCCTACGCCCAGGATGAGCTGGTGGGCATGCGCGTACTGTATAGGCAGAGGCCATCCTAATCTCTGCCTAGATGACTTTTACGTCTCTGGGTTGTGGGGCTGGAAAGCATTGTTACATCAGGTACTGAGATGAGTAGAATGGCTTCCCTGACGACTCTCCCTTCCCTCCGGCCCCAGCTGCAAAATGCCCATCACGCCTCAGGGAATCAGACACTCCTGGAATGGCTGGCAACTGCCATCAGGGTAGTTTGGCCTAATCAGGGTGCTTTACCATATTTTCCCAGTAGTTGGAAAACGTATGCAGAGCTCCAGCAGGTACTGTGGGAATTGGGTATGAAAAATATTATCTATAATATGGATCCCCAGGGCCCCGATGAGGAGGTGTTTGCTATAGGAATGAGAAATCTGGTGCTGCATATAGCTCCCCCATCTCTCTTTGGGTCTCTAGTGATTACTCTTGCCCCCTACCCAGGGCAACCCATAAGGGAGGCTACTCGTACTTTAGCAGATCTGGGGGAGGTTGAAACAATAAGGGCACAGAGGGAGGTACGGGCCATGACTGAAAGGAGAGGTGCAAAGGCCCAGTGAAGGTCTCAAGCACCCAGATGTGGGTTGATTTGATAAAGGCCAGGGTAGGGAAAGAAAAACTATATATTGACCCATCTGTAACTCCCAGAGGGATGGGGGTGAAAGTCTGGTATACTAGACCAGGACGAGGTCCCATTCCTGCCACTGTTTTATCACAAGACCACTCTCTTACACGTATCCTACCTGATGGACAAGATTTGCCTATGCTGGTGTCATTAAAACATGTCTTATCACCCTTAAGGCTATTTTCTCCTACAGTCCTTGTGGCCTGAATGCACCCCCTGGCTGCAGCTGCTGCGTGATAATTGCTCTGAACCCTGGGCTACTGCTTGCCTATGGAATGGACGGACTATGGACTTAATCTGCATAAGACTGTGAACCTCGCTGAATCGTCTGGCTTGAGGAATGTCATGATTTTATAGCTGTTGCTATTGTTGTCATTAGTCTGGTCACAATGCTCCAGTTTTCTCGCCCAGGGTCCATTGCGGAAGAAGGGGAATGAGTAGATTGTAAAGCGAGATTTCTGGAGGGGTGGCCTGTGGGTAAAATTGTAACATTTCCAGAATATGTCGCCTGACTTTAGTGCATCTGCATATCCTCCGGGATGGAGAGAAGTTCATCTCCATATCAATGGGTAATTACCTGGGCAACCGAGGGCGCGTCTGAACCGGAGAGCTTAAGGGGAGGGACTGGCTTGCTTGCTGGTTTCTTCAGGAGCAGAGGAGAAAGGCGGCCCTGGACTGCAGTTTGTGAGCAATAAATGGGTTTTAAATTTTATATCTCCCTTTGACTGCTTTTGGTTTTTAGAGTTATTTTGCCCCGGGATTTCCTCTCCCTGGGCTTACAGAGACACAGGTCCTAGTGGGGTTCCAGAGCCCATGAAGAGGTGGGACAGAGGTCCCAGATGGTTCTGGTGCAGCTCTGCTAAAGGTGTTAGGCTGCCGGCTCTCCAGCTCTATAGGCAAAGGCACCCGTTCAAAGCTCTGACCCACCACCAGCCCTGAAAACCATTGCAGAAAACGCCCACTACCAGCCCTTCCAGCAGCCAGCCTCCAAGTGTGCAAGCTGCTGCCCAGGCCCCATCTGGGGTGATCCCCCTGGTCTCCTGATTAGAGCCTTGCAGTGCAGCCTGAGGTTTGATGAAAATGTACTTATTACACTCATGAGTGGCCAGTTGGAGAGCTTTTTAAACAACTTACTGCTCATTGCAATTTGGTCACCAAAATAACCATCATTTTCGAGGGACATGCCATACTGCCACCAGCTGCTTGGGGCGGTAACCCCAGGGCTCTCCTGGAAGATAAGCCTGAGCGCCAGGCCAGAGAAGAGAATTCTCTTGGCTCAGGGAGCGACTTTCCTGCAACTCCCTCCTGGGCTCCACCCACCTGCTGCCTCAGCCACCCTCCTACCCAGGGGATTCTCAGGCCACAGCCTCTTCCTAGGCAGCCTAGGGCCATGCCTGCAGGGCGTGCACTGTACTTTAGGGACAGTGGCTTCCCCCAGGAAAAGCTTCTCAGCAGCCTCAGGGAGGACATGGGAGTGGCTGGGAGGGGTCCTCAGGGGCTCTGCACCTCACCCCATGCAGAGGTGAGGTGGCACACCCATCACCTGGCTGGCCAGGTCTGGGAATGTCTTTTCAATGAACTGGCAGATTCTGGGAGGTCTTCACTGTCTTGAGTCGTGAAGAAAAGAGGTTGTTCTTGGACCGATAATTAGCAGCAACTAACAGTGCTCATGAAAACACCGAATTAATTCATCTGCTTACACACTGCTTCTCAAATCTTCGTGGTCTCAGGAGCACCTGGGGTGCTGAGCGAGCACATGGGGACCAGGCTCAGTGAGGCAGGATACCGCTGGTCCTTGGCTAGTGTACCAGGTTCCCCAGGTGACACTCGGGTGACCGGTTTGGGAGCCTGGGCAGTGGCAATGAGGAACCTAGAGCTTCCAAAAGCTCAAGGACAACGAAGTTCACCAAAATGTCTTGGGCCCTTGGTCAGGGAGGAGGGTCCGAGAGCCCGCAGCCCTGCAGGTCTGCCAGCACCCTCCTCCTCTCTTCGGACTTTGGAATTACTTGGGCTGAAGGTGTGAGGAATCAGGGAGGGATACTACCTGACAGCTCAGGGTGGGGAGGGGGTGAGGTCAGCCCTCCTAAGAGCCCAGCACGGTGGGCCTCATAAGCAGGAAGGAGGAAAGGGCAGGGAGGGCCTGGCTAGCACTGCTGGCTGCTGCCCATTCCTTGCTCTCACCAGCAAAGCTTGTCACTAACTCAGTAACTACTTTCTTCCTTAGGTTCCACATCTGTCAAATGAGATCTGTCCCTACCGAAGACAGTGGTTATAAAGATTAAATTCACAAAATGTGCTTAGCACATAGTAAGTGCTCAATAAATGTTAGTCATCATTTATCAACAATTAGATACTATTATGAATTAGATGTGCTTCCTCTTTAAAACCGGGACAGCTAAGGAACTGCCCTCCCTCCCTCCCTGTCCAAGCACCCTGCGGGGGCTGCATCAGCCTCCTCACTAGGCTAGAAAGGATTGGCAGGCTGGGGTCACCAGAAGGGAGCTGTTAAGAAATGCAAAACTCAACCAAGTCAATTTGAAGATCTAATTGGCTCTATTAAGTGATTCCGGGGTGAGGCGCCATTCCCCTACCACGTAGAGAGATGCTCTGGGAGGCTACCTAAAGGACGAGGGTTTACGGGTGGAACAAGGAAGTCATAAGCAGAAAAAGGATTATTTCAGGTTTGGGTCACCTTCCTTAAAGGACAAAGGTTCTTATTAGGTGGATCCTTTGTGTGTGTGTGTGTGTAGGGAGGGGTGTAGGGAGGGGTGGGCGGAGAACAGAGTGTGTGTGTGTGTGTGTGTGTGTGTGTGTGTGTGTAGGGAGGGGTGGGCGGAGAACAGAGTACATGTGACATTATCTTATCAATGTTGACCAGAAAATTCCTCACTGCCCGCATTTCGCTGGGAGGCTGAACCTGCGATTAGGTATGAGGAAAAAAAAATTCATTAAAGGTTGGAGAAATGTTTCAAGGAGACTGAGTCATACAAGGTTTTTCTGTCTTTGGGGAGACAGGCAAGAAAGACTGAGTTTCAAAGGGGCATATGCATTTACGCAAAATATGCGTTGCTAAAAGAAGGGTTGGGTAGCTACATCTTGGCACAAGGGGCATTAATGGGGGGGGGCACAAACGTTCTTATCTCGTGTCCTTGAACAGGAACCCAAGGGTAAGGAGAACAGAGGGGATGCATACTTTGTGTAGCTTACCTTTGTTTTAATTAACAGAAGGCAGTACACAGAAAGCTTAATTTTCAGGGTGGCTGTTTTGAGACTCCAGAGTTAATGAAACGTTCAATATTTAGGCCTTAGAAATATTTTGGTGGGCGCTGGTATGGTAGTCAGCTTCCTTTATTTCACAGGTATTAAGCTGCAGTTTGGTGAATTGGCCTAGAAGCGACACTATGTAAGGCTGTGCCCTCTTTTTAATAGACTTCAATCACCAAGTCCCGAGGTCTGAAACCGCTAGGGTAGCATGCCCTGGGCAGGGTGGTGAGGTGGGTACTGGCCACGTGGGCTTGCTGGGACACCCTGAGTTGGGTTCTTGAGGGTGTCAAGGCATCAGGGAGATGTCCACCCCAACACCTCTGCGGGGGAGGCGGGGTTCTGCCACCCTGTGGCCAAGCATCCCTGGGCGTACAGGTCGGGCTTGGGTCCGGGTGCTGCGGGGCGGGCGCTGGTCTGTGCCGTGGCTTGAGGGTTACCCCCGCGCGGGTGTGGACTAGATGCGGGTATGGACCCCTGCAGCAGGCTCGGCGACCCGGAAGCCCCAGGAGTGGGTAGGGCACCCCGTCACCCCCAGAGTCGCCGCTCCCCTGACCGTGCGCTCCTTCCTCGCCTGTCGTTGTTGGGACTCAGGGGGTCCGAGTGTGGGCGGGGAGGTCAGAGGCTAGGACCGCGCCGGGCCGCGGACTCCGCTGGAATGAATGAACCACTCAATGAGTAAATCAATGAATGAATGAATGCGTGACGCGACAGTGCCCTGATTAGGCAGAGGTCGAGGCTGCAGACCCGCCCACCGGCCGGGAAGCTGGGGTCAGGGTGCGCGCTGCAGCGCCCGTCCCCAGGGAGGTGCCGGGCCTGTGGGCGGGACCTGTGGGCGCCCCTCCCCTCCCCGCCCCCTTCCGCCCCCGCGCAGCGCGGGGCGCGCGGATTCCGAGCCGCGCTGAGGTCAGAGGGAGGCGGCCTGGCGTCCGAGCCCAGCGCCTGCGCCGACCCGGGTGCGTGGGGCCGGAGCGGAGCGCAGCTGAGCGCAGCCGAGCTCTTGAGCGCGGACACGCCGCCTTCCGGCCGGCCACGCGCCACCGCGGCAACCCGGCATGGAGGAGGAGTGCCGGGTGCTCTCCATCCAGAGCCACGTCGTCCGCGGCTACGTGGGCAACCGGGCCGCCACGTTCCCACTGCAGGTACGCGCCCCGCAGGCTTACGTAACCCGGCCCGGGGGTCCCCGCATCTGCCGTGCGCCCCCGGGGCCACAACCACTCCGCGTGACCTTGGCCAGGGTCCCGGGCCGCCCGGGGCCGCGTCTGGAGTGCGCTGTGCCCGGTGCCAGCCTAGGCGGGCGCCTGCGGGGTTGGGGAGCACTCGGTGGACCCCCGGTGACGGACGGCGCTGGGGGCGCTCGGTTAAGGAAGCGCCCGCGCTCGAGCTGCAGCGCTCCCGCCAACCCCAGCCGCTCGCTGCTGCCCGGCCGTCCGCGAAGCTCCCTGGAAACGAGAAAATGCGGCGCAGCGCCCAGGCACCCTGCCGGGGACCGGAGGAGGAGAGACAGGTGTTTGCAGGGCCCACTGCTGGGCGCCCCGATTGTGTGCCCGCCCTCTGGGTCACGGTGGCGGGGAAGGAGGAGGAGTAAGCTCACGGACCTTGGCCCCTGCCAGGGTGGGCCCCGTCTTGCGGCTGACCATTCCGGGACGTGGGCCCCCGGGGGCGGGGTAGGAAAGGCCTACCTGCATGTTGGATCTTAAGAGGATAAGCTGAGAGACCAGTTCAGGCCCTTGCACGCGTTCAGCTTTCGAAGCTGCTTTTTAAGTGTTTTAGCTTTTACTTAGTGATTCTACCCACCAGCTTCCCTCCTGCCTCCCCTGCCTGTCCTTAGTCGGGGCTCCCTGGTTGCCAACCCCCTGCTTCCTGTTGCCGCCTCAAGGTTATGGCTGAGGGGCCCTCGGAGGAGTAGAAGTCCTGGGTGCGGTGGGATGGCACGCTGGGCCGGAGGCAACAGGCGGCCGACAGGCATTCCTTGCCTGGGCCCAGCGGGAGTGCTGGGTGGTCTTGGCAGGGTGGTGGTTCTCCTGGACTTTGGCCTTTGTACCTAGGCGGGATCCCCACGAAGGAGAAGCTATAGCCAGTGTCCTGCTCCTAGCTCCTGGGGGCCGGGGGGGCGGGGAACTCAGCAGGTAGGTGGGTTGTGTGGGCTGGGTCCCTGGGGAGTTCCTGGTGGACTGCTGGGGGAGAAGGGTGCAGAGCCTCTGAAGCAGGGGCAGTCAAGAAGGGCGGAAGCAGGTAGGGCTCTGAGAACTAGTTCAACTCACTGGCCCAGCAACAGGAGCAGCCCCAGCCTGGTCTGGCTGGGCCAGGGAGCCACAGAGCGACCCTGGCAGAGGTGTGTGCTTCTCTGGTTTCCCCCCATCTTGGCCACACCCTTCTTTCTCCATTTGGGTGGACTGTCCGCTTCTTCTGGGTTCTCCGGTGATGTCCTTTGCTCCAGAACTTCCAGTCATGTGCCCATCACTTCTACAGCAAGGACTGTCATTTTCCAGTTACTCTAGGGAGAGGCGCCTCCAGAATGCCCACCTGGGAAGTTCTTCAGGTCAGAGCCGACCTTACCTGCAGTCTGCTCACATCCCAGCATGCTTACCTGAAGGTGTGTGTGCTGGGGGTCATGTCATCTCCGCTCCTGTCACGGGGAATAGGCCCCTGCCTGGTCTGACCCATCCCTGCTCTTCTGCAGGAGCGTGAAGGGTGTTGCGGAAGGCAGGGTCTGTCTGGAAGCTTCGTGACCTTGCAGAGGCCTTCTTCCTCACTGAGGAGCCCTCTGGCGCTCAGTTGCCTTGTCTGTAGAATGGGATGCCTGCTTCACCAGTTGTTTTAGGACCAGGGGAGATGCTGGCTGTGGAATGAGGTGGCCCTCAGTACCCAGGGGTAGTCCAGTTGCCTCTCATAGTACAGGAGGGTCGGGCTGGATGACCCCTGAGTGTCCCTGGGGCCTCTCCTGGAGGCAGGACCCCTGTCAGGAGTGGTCGTGGGTTGAATCCTCACTTCCTCACCTGTTCTTTGCCCTAATTACCTCCTCCTCCTAAGTACAGAATAAGGTGTAGCCCTGGGGGTTGGAGAGAGCTGAGGAGAGGACAGAGCCAGGAATGGTGGTCCTCAAAACATGCTATCCCCAAGCCGGACCTCCAGCAGGACTGTTAGTGTAGTGTGCAGATGGCTGACGCAGTGGGGGTTCATTCCCTCAACTGGAGGCCAAATTCCGAGACCCAAGTGTGGGCAGCGCTGGTGCTCCCTCCTGGGCGTGTGGATGGCTGCCTTGCCCTGTGTCCTCAGTGGTCAGCCCTCTGCGTGTTGGTGACCTCATCTCTTCTCATAAGGACACAGATTGGATTAGGCCTCCCCAACAGTGAACTCATTTTAACTTAATCACCCCTTTAAGGCCCCATCTACAAGTACAGCCACATTCCAAGGTGCTGGGGGTCAAGGCTTTCAACATATGAATCGGGTTGGGGGGAGGACACAATTCAGCCCATTAACCAAACAATTTCTAGAAATTAGTTCACTGGCCACTCTGCCTTTGACCACCCAGTGCTTCCTTGACCAGAGTCTGGATTCCTCATCAGTCTGCACTTGCCTGCTTTGGCTCTGGCTGCTCAGCTGGTGGGGGATCAATCCACCAGTCCTGCAGGATATGCCGCGGGGCCCCCTGCGGCATTCTGCTACCCCACCCTTGTGTCTGGCCACCTCTGCAGCAGGGGGTGGGTGGGGTGACCCACCAGCCCCGGTTATGGCAGGACGGACTGGGTGGACGGGGCTGGAATGACCTAGAAGCCTTGCTGGTAGTCCCATAATCCCAGAGTTGTGCTACTGTTAGTAGGGAGTGTGTCTGAATGAGTGTGTCTGAATTTTGGCTGGCGCCATTCAGCCAGACACATCAAAGGCAGGCTTGTTCACTGGCTGAGTGTGGAGAGAGAACTTAGAAACAGGGAGAGGGTGGTCTGTGGCTGAGCCCCCCAACTTTGGAGAGCCTGGCAAATGTGTGTGTGTGGGGCCAGAGAGGCTGCCTGTGGGGACTGACCGGGGGTGGGGTGGGGTCCCTGCCTTGGAGTTCGGGCTCCGGGGGTTGGCCCTGCCTTCTGAGTCTGTCTGACGTCACCCACCAAGAAGAACAGGCCTCCGGGCAGTGGTGCTGCGCTCCAGAGCACTGTGAGGCCGTTTGGGGGCCCACTGCCCTGTGGAGGGTGTGCTCAGATGGTGCCCACAGTCGCCTGCCACTCTGGGCTGCAGGGCCGAGGCTCCCAGACTGCTTTAGCCATGTCCCAGAAGCACGGCCCGGGAGGTCTCTGGTGGACAGCCGCCTTCCCTGGGCAGAGAAAATGAGCAGAACCGGAAGGAGCAGAACCATGGCCTTGCTGGATTTGTTTCCAGGCACAAGTCCAGAGCGCGTTTTAGTGGCAGAGGGGACCATGTGAAGTGCCCAGTGACAGAGGGGGTAGGACGGGGTGAAGCCGTGCTGGTGGAGAGGGGAGCGTGAGGGCAGGCTCGTGGCCATCCGGGCCCTGTCCCTGAGGAGCAGACAGGCCACATGATGCATCTGGGGGCCCTGCGCTGCAGGACTGGGACTCCCTGCTGCTCTGGCCTTCAGTTCTGGAGGTGGGGAGGGAAAGGTGAGGGTGAGTGAGTTGGGGCAAGGGGCAGCCTGCTCCCTCCCACAGCAGGTGCGGGGTAGGTGGCAGGGGGACTGTCCCCGCTTGGAAGCAGAGCCTGAAATGCTTCCTGGGCTGGGCCGCTTCTCCTGCTCTTCTGCGGCCCTCTGGGTGGAGGTCCTAGAGTCCTCTGGGCAGCCCCACAGTGCCCCACTGCTTCCTTTTTTGGTGGCAGTACAGCAGGCACCTGACGCTTAGGGTTATGTCCCAGTGTCCTTGGGCTGCTGTGACAAAGGACCACATGCTGAGGGGCTTCAAGCATCAGAAGTTCATTCTGGCAGCTGTGAGGGCCGAAATGAAGTCAGGGAGCTCCGGAGGTGCTGGGGAAGGCACCCTCCTGCCTATCCGGCTTCCTGGCTCTGGTATGCCTGGGCTGTGGCTGCCTTGCTGCCTGCATCGGCACGGGGCTTCTGTCTCTCCCTGTGTATCTCTTATGAGGACACTTGTCACCCAGCTAATCCAGGATGATTTTATCTCAAGATCTTTTCCTTTGTTGCTTTTTTCCACCTACGGTCACATGCATAGTCCTGAACCAACATGTATTTTGGGGGTCCACTGTCCAATCCACAATAGGTTAGAAGGAGCCTTTTCAGAGAAATTTAAAGTGGCCCAAATTTGGGGTTTAATTAAAGGCCCAGAGGTTGATGATACCACATCTAGAAGCTGTCTCTCCTGGAAACGAGAGTCTCGAGCCGCCCATATGGATGTGGCTCCTGGGTCTCCCTCCAGACCTGGGCAGACGGCCCTCCTGGTGTCCATGTGTCTGGTGGATGGGCAGCCAGCTTCATGCGGGCTGTCTGGCACCTGCTTCCTTCTGAGGCTGCCCCAGACGTGTGACCTCTGTGCTGGGGCGATGGTTGGTCACTGGCAGGTCACCGTGCCAGAGAAGCACAGCTCTGAAAGGCCACTTGTCGGGAGAGAGTTTGATTGCTGAATTCCAGTGGCCTTGAGAATCTGACTTGGGCCCTTCACTCCAGACCCACTTGAATGTCGTGTCACCCAGATGGGAGGGCAGGACTGTGGGAAGCCCAGGGAGATGCCCTAGGGGGCAGCTCAGTCTCTGGCCTGCAGGGATCAGCCTCCTTGGACTCTCCTGGCCCAGCAGAGCCGAAGCAGCCCTGAGACATCCATGGGGGTGAGGTGGACATTGTCTTTCTGTCCAGGGACCTCATGCAAGTCTGTTTGCCAGGGTGCAGTGGACCACACCCCCCAGGAAGACAGGTTGGCAGGCAGTGGGTGTGTTGAGGCCCCTGGCCTGGGTACCAAGATTCAGACCCCTCCCTGCCACCTGACGTTGGCTAGAGCAGCTGGGCAGAGGCTGAGGGTCCCATGGGCTGGGCGGGCCCCCTGCCGCTCTGAACAGAGCCAGAGCCACAGAGCCGCAGGGGTGTGGGCACAGTTGCAGTGAGCATGCACGCGAGGCCCCTCCACCTGGGTTCTCCAGAGGCCTGGACGGGGTGCCCATGGCTCTTCAGGTTGTAAGATGCTTA